TATATATATAAAAAGAGCCACCCGTTATCAGGAGAGACCCTGAGCACAGAGCAGAGGCAGGCACTTGTACAAGTCGTAAACAAGACAAACTAGGTCTTAGGTGTGACATCATTCTGCATAACCCTCAAATTATTGCTGCACAAAACCTATGGCTGGCATCGCAAGCAACATTTGGTTCTATGGCAATGTATGCTTGTGCATTGGCTTATCCTTTCTCTGCTGTAACTGTGAAGGATGTCAGTGAAAAAAGAAGAAAACGATCATTTTCTGCCTGTGGCTGCTAGAGGGGGGCTCAGGGCAGCTCCTTGCGCCTGAGAGGCGAAGTGACACCACCGAGGGAAGCATGCTTCTGCAAAACTAATTTGATCAGTCAGTAAGTTCAAATTTTGTGGTACACAAGACAGATGAAAAATACTTTTTTGGGACAGAATTTATCATCGTACTGTAAATCAACACTATCTAACGTCCACTGACTCCTAAGAACAGGCGTTAATAGGGTGAAACCTGTTTCATATGAAGTAGTATTATACTGAATAATACTGAATCTGGGGCAACGTGGCAGTTATGACATTGCCGTAATGCCCTGGCACTAGGTGTAAATTCCAAATTGCCACTGGGTCTCCTGTGTCTAGATTTTGTACCCGACTCCGTTTCTTCCTGACAGCTGCTGAACATTGCATTTGCATACTGTGGTAGCTGCAGTGCTCAAAATCAAATGATATATTTTAAAACCGTTATGGATGTTTATCTAGCAGTTTTCTTTAAATGACTGCAGAAACATTAGATAAATAATCTCACAGCCCCAGAATATGGCAAGAATAAGAACAGTTAGGTGGTGCAGTCTGCCTGCCTGCGAATGGATGACTCCTGTGTGCTCTAGGTAGGTTTCTGTCTAACCTTCACTAACCTCTTCCAGGCTAAGTCAGCAACTATGGCAAGGAGCAGCGTCTGTTATCACTGGCCCTTAGAATTACTTAGGTACACAAGGTGAGGCAGAAAACATCTACATACTCAACCTGATTGTGACTGGCCTGATAAAATGTTAGTTAAGCTCTGTTCTTGAATCCACATCTCACAGCAGTTATTACTAACTTGGTCAAAGCAATGCACTGATACGACAGTATTGTCACGACTAACCAGAGGTACTGCAAAGATTCACAACGTGAAAGGCAGAGAGGACCTTTTGGCCAGAATTAACACATCCAGACTCCAGATGTTCTGGGGCTGCCACAGAGCACACAGCTGGGGCTTCTGCATTAACCCACCCTCTGTCAGTATTTTGAACTGAACGCTGGCTAATGTTAGCTATAATAAATGTATAAATACTCCCCACTACTCCCTGGATGCTTCTAGGGCTTATATGGTGGATCACCTAACTTTCAGGCTTTTGCTTCTGGAATAGAGTCCCGAGCCCCTGATGGACACCTTGGCGCTCTGTGCAGCACTGAGGCACCTCGGGATGGGGCCCAACACAACCAGCCTCCACGAGGAACAAACTAAAATCTGCATGTTTTGTCTGCAGCTGCTCAACAGCAACCAAGGGGAAAAACTTAGGGCGTGAAACCATGAAAGCTAGCCTACCTCTGTGTTCCTGTGATTTACACCCTGCAACCTTCAGCAAGCAAGATAATTGTGTCTCTCTATTAAAAGAGCTAAGCGGGATGTCGTCTCTCCAAGTCTTCTTGGGAAAAGCATACGGCACATAATAGCTTACAGTTTGAAAAAAAATTCAGTTCCTGATAATAGTAAATTAAGGCCCTTTGTTCCCCCCCTTGTTGAAACTGCCATTGTACATCTGAAGAATACAAGATTTCCAGTTCAACAGTCCTAGTCTCTGTGCTCTGACAGGCTGATCCTCTACTTCACACTAGATCCATTGAATTTTACAGATGTTTATCATGCAAAACAATCCTAATACAGAGAAGAATTTCTTAAAGATTAGCATAGTTTCCTGTCTGATAACATTTATTGCATTTAATTGCATTTAACTCAGTTTGAAGTTGTAAAGTCCCTCAGGAGTTTGCTGTACAAAAGCAAACCTAAAAAAGCCTTAATTACAGCACTGCAGAATATAACAACTCACTGCGAAACAGCAGCTAAAGACAATTCCATAAAGAAAACGTAAAATAGTCCTGCTCAAAACCAAGAAACAGCACTTCCTATGAAATCTGACTCCAAGTATACTTACAGTCTAAGCATCCCAACTGCTTGGAGGAACAGTTGCAATTTTAAGAGCACCGTAAGAGACACGGTTGTGTCTGATGACACCTAATGGAAAACTTTGTCATAAGGGTGCGTCCACTGAAACAGTTCCTAAAAATACAGTCAGCACTTCACTCGATCACATTCGTCACTATTTCTATATTGATACAAACCCCTCCCAGAGCAAAATCACAACAGTGGGGAACTTAAAAACTAGGTTCATTCCATGTGGTTGTAATCTCCCTGAAGCTGGGTCTCCTGGCTGCAGTTTACACTGACATAGTTAAGACTGTTGTTAGGCTCAAAGTTTGCCACTATTAACACTGAGAGAAAACAAAAGCATAGACAAAAGTCAGTTGAAGTTTAGCAACTGTACTACACTCTGGAAGTTACGGGCAAGATGGAGGAAAAGAGGGAGTATGTCTGACTGTTTTTTCACCCGTTAGCCTTTACTAGACTGAAACCCATTGCAGTACCTACGACATTAGAATTGGTCTCGCTGTTTTTCCTTACAGCCAGAATGGGAATCACTGCAGATGATTCATTCACCTGCTGTGAATGGTACGCATCCAGCTCGATGCAAAACAGATAGACAAAGTGGATACACTTGACTGCAGAACCCACTGTTTTATTTGGTTACTTTTACATGATTACTGTATCTGGAAAGCATTTATAAGTATAATAATGATCTCAGCTCTTAATTTTCAACCGGCTATTATGTTTTTAAATAGGATTTTACCTTACTTGGCTGGAATCCATCGTAAATAATCCATAAAGGAAAACAAAGAGCCCAACCAGGGCAGCAGGAAATAAGCATTCCAGTATACCACCCCAACCAGGCAAAATACAGTCCAATTTTTTCACCAAAATATCGCCTACATGGAAAGGAAACATACACATTATTTAAAGTTAAATCTTATTGTGATCTCTGTCTATTGTAATGAAAAGGAAAATAACAAAAAGAGAGAGAAATAAAACCCAAGAAAAACAAGTAATACAAATGAAAAACAATTGCTCACCACCCACCGACCAATGCCCAGCCAATCCCTGAGCAGTGGTCGCTGCCCCTCTGGCCATCTCCCCCCAGTTTATATACTGAGCATGATGTCATATGGTATGGAATATCCCTTTGGCCAGTTTGGGTCAGCTGTCCCAGCTGTGTCCCCTCCTAGCTTCTTGGGCACTTCCAGCTTTCTCACTGGCAGGACACGAGAAGCTGAAAAGTCCTTGGCTTAGTGTAAACACTACTTAGCAACAACTAAAACATCAGTGTGTTATCACCATTATTCACATCTTAAATCCAAAACACAGCACTATACCAGCTGCTAGGAAGAAAATTAACATTATCCCACCCAAACCGGGACAAAGTTTCACGCTGCAAACTGTCAAGCAGCTGGATCTACGTGCCTTTTATGCAGCCTCATTGGAAATTAACAGCTCTGCACAAAAGACCACCAAAAGAAGCAACTTGAAGAATTTAAGTCCTACCTGATAATACTGAATGGCTAAATTTTACAGCAAAGCATAAAGACAAGGAATTTGCCGGTATGGTTAATACACTGTTACCAGGTTGGCTGTATCACAGAAACAAGCTACTCTTCAAAGTACTAATACCTGATTAAATCAAGAGGTTGGTATTTGTACCACATTCCCCACCGTGCCCAACGCTCATATAAGAGGTGTCTGTGATTCTGAGCTCCATGTGTTTTGATGGGATGTCTGCTTTTGTGGCTTCCCTGAAAAACACAAAGAAATAAAAGTATGTTACTAGGCGCTATGGAAAAGATATAAATTTCTCAGGTATTTCAATATATTTTTAAATGAGGAGGTCACTGTTTTTAATAAATAGGTCTCATATTATGGCCGCCTCTAGGACACATCATCTGGAGCTAAACACATCAGCCTGACAGAAAAGATATGGTTACGTATGTTGCCAAAATGACCAGTTGCTCTTAAGAATTAATGAGAAAACCACACTAGTACAAGGCTATAAAGAACTACTCAACTTTTTATATTACTTCAAGTACAGTGCTTCTATTTCACAAACATATGCTTATTTGTATGCTTTCATCTAGTTCAAATTTTCAAAATTTTTCATGAGAGGTTTGTGATATCTTTTTTTCTCCTCTCCTATAAAATTTTAGAAATTTCTGGTATGTCAGCTTGGTCGTCCTCTCCTAGACATTTTCTATGACTTTAACTCCTGTTAAAAAGTACAGAAAACCATAGTCTTTCGGTGGTACATATTTTCTAAGATGACGGAAACAACAGAACCGGTGTTATTTTGAAGCCTACGCAGGACTCCCAGAGGCATTAAAAGCAAAACACAGAATCAGTCTGACCCAAAAGGAGTCCTCCCAGGCCGCACCTGGCATTTACAGACTGCCTGACAGCCTGAAACTTTGAACTTTTTCCCCCAAAAAAGACCCCACCACTCAAGTTATGGTAAAGAAAATCTTTCATCAAATAACTGCAAATGAGCCACATAATTTCTTGGGAGGAGAGCGAGTTCCCCAGAGCAGTACTACAGAGTTAGCAATTGGACAGATTCTTGACCCTAGTAGATCCAAGTAATTTAGCCATCTAGCTTTTTATCATTTATTTGAAATCTCGAGCATTCCCAAAAACTGAAAGAACAGTATTTGCTCGTTGCAATGGGCTGACCCTCTGGTTAAAGAATGAGTTAAAAACAAAGTTAAGCATAGCAAAGAGTCCAATTCTACTAATTCCTCATTAAAGTCAGCAAAGAACCATACAAATAATGACAACACAGCGTGACCTTTGCAACATATGGAAACACCTAGGAACAGAACATCAGCTTATTCTCACAGTCACTTGGATGAATGAGTGCAATGCATGAAGCATTACCAAGTATTGTATATTTTTAAGACTTTTTTTTCCCCCTCTGCTTCTTTCTGCACTGTTTACCCGTAACAGAGTCCAAGCCTCAGCATTTGCACTGGGACTGAATTTTCACTCTCAGTTGCTCGCGTGATTTAAAAAAAATTAATAAAAATAAAATAAAACTGCGTGTTCAATCACTAGCCCTTCGCACCAGTCAAGCAGCAATTAAAGTAAGAGCGGCTTAAAAATATGACTTCATTAACCTTAACTGAAACTTTGAAACAGTAACTTATGACATAACAAAGGAACATATACATAAAATGGATATGACAGCATGGTTGTGACAGCCAAAGAAAACTTCACAGGGTTTTCTGGTAGTATGGCCAGCTTTTCCCTAAAGTCAGTAAAGCACAGCGGAAGCGTTAACAGTGATGTTCAATTATTTATCTAAAATACTCCTTCTCTATATTCCCAGTATTTAATTATTAATACCATATAAAAAATTACTCTCAGCAATTTGTAAAGCACAGGTCAGTCCTTCAAAACAGGAGATCAAGTCACAACATTCAGCCCAAGCAACCATGGAGTTCACAGCTGCAATTACCAAGCTCCTGATCAGCACTTAAAATGACTGAAGATGTGTGGCTTGCTGCTTGCTCTTCAATACACAAAGATTGTCTGAAAACCCTCTGAAGTCAAGTTTTGCATTTACTTCACAGATTTACAGTCTTCAGTAGAAGACTTCAGTAACCTACTAAAGAAGATGCTGTCAAGTAGAAGTGATCCAGAACTATTCACAAAAGACTAAATAGGAAATAATTAACCAGTCTCCCTAACTTTGATCAAGTGCACAAGCTATTAGAAGACCAGAACATTTTGTAGATGGCAGGCAAAAATAATTTAACACAACTAATTGGAATAATTTGGAATAACTGATATTCTCATTAAGAACTCCACAGGCAATGTCCGGTTGATAAAAATAAAAAAAGGATTATAATGTTCTAGTTCAGTAAGAAAATGCTCCAGGAAGATATTAAAACACATTACATAAGAAAAAATTTAAAAGCCACTATTAATGTTAGAGCTAGAAATAAAAAAATGTCTCAACAGATTACACAGTGAAGTTAAAGGTTTGCAGGACAAAATTAAAAATAAAGTAGGATCTCAAAACATTAATGCAAGCTTTAAGCTAAATATAAAGACAAATGCATAATTAAACAGGTTACCTCATGTGGTGGAAATGCTGCTTCATATGTTCCATTATTTAGTAATCTATTAATACCTAAAAAGTAAAAAAAGCATTAGTTCTGATATCAATTTTTTATACACACTTAATTTCAAGCAGTGAGAATTTTCAAGTTGCATATTGAGAATGTAACTTAATATTAGATGCCCAGGATGCTGCTAAACATGACAATAATCAATAATCCCACCCATCGTTTGTGCAGGTCTTGCAGATCCCTCAAGACTCAAACTACAGCACCTTTCTGAGGGCCAGCGTCTGCGACGTGTCAGATCAAGCGTGAGAAGACAGTTACATTCATGTTGTATTCATCAGAGCAGATGATACAGATTTGATGGGTGACCAGATGATCTGACATACACAGAGAGTGGTATGGACAGACAATCCTTGAGGCAGCAAAACCCTCGCAGTTTTAAAAGCTAACCTGTTGGTATTTTGGAATATAAGCCAGCTGAAGGAGTTTATGTATCAGAGCAATGCTCTGCATCATACTGGCTACAGCATTTTGGATCAGTTCCTAGAGTCTTCCTAAAAACAGATTTGTTGTACTATCAGAGCACAATATAAAAAATAAATAATAAATAACCATTGATAATTATAACAAAAAGATTCAGTAGCAGCACACTCATAGCCAACAGTTTCCCCAAGAAATAAGTACTCATGATGGATTTCAGATTTGTCCATTCAAACATACAAAATACGGTAAACTAATCTCACAATGAAATTTGCAGTCATCAGCTTGAAAGGCATTAGATTTGAACCGTTGTTTTCTATGCTTTTCTTATTACAACTTTCTGTAATTTCTATCATCTTATTTCATTCTTAATTTAATTCTGGCAAAGAAAATAGGAAATCATACATACATCCCCTGATCACTGCAAATGAAAACGAATAGTCAGACCTTCTAAAAACAATACTGTAATAGGGAGTTCATATAAACTGAATCTAGTCTTCAGGCCAACTGTCTCTGAGCTGCACGGAGACCTCAAGTAAGTTAAGGGCAGCTCACATTGATTCTGTTGGACTGGAAATGCTGGGTAGTAGCAGAACTACGAGGACCAGTCCTAGAAAACACTCGACAGTTTTCTGAGGGATAGGTTATCTTTATTGTGGCTCTTGATCACATAAAGTTATCATAATCGCTCCAATTTATTTTCAAGAACGAGTAATTAGACGAAAAATATTGCCAATATTCACTGAGTTGAAGAAAATAACTGACATGATGTGAATGATGTGACATTCCTTCAACTCTGTTACTGAGCAAACAAAAATATTTCAAGGAATGGCAAAATTGACTTTACTCAAATGATACTTTTTCAGGCAGGTAAAGATATGAAATTTTTATAGCTTCAGGTTAGGAAAAAAAATACAGCACTCTCACCCATTTTGGACTTTCCATCTTCATACTTAGTTCTCTGTAGCATGTGATGCACAATTCTACTTCTTGTGGAATTGCTGAAGAAGCTGTCTTTGTTGTTTATGGTAAAACTATTAAAATAATGAATGTCTTTTAATATTCAAAACAATGCCCAGGTGTTCAAACATAGCTGCTCACGTGTTTTCTTCTTACAGTGATTTATTGGATCTTTACCCTCCCTGGTACTGCGCAAGATATAAATTTTACATCCCTAGAACATGTTCTCAGGTCCAATAAGTTTATCATCATCACAGATTATTGTTGGGAAAACACAGCAATTAAAACTGAATTCTATAATGTTCCCCTGTCTAGGTAATTTCTGTTCTGGATATAATCAATTAAAAAAAAAGATCTTCAGAAGCAGTAGTTGTTCTCAAATTCAATGAGTTGGCAGATGTCTGTGTCACGGAACCATCAGAACTGCTATTTAGAAAAAAAAAAGAATTATCTCCTTGCACTGGACACTTGAGTAGCAGCTCCACCACCACTTTCCCTTAGAGAATCTGAGGATGGAGCCAAATCAAGCATCCTTTCCCAGATGGCTCTGGATTCCAGATGCCAGAAATCTGAAATTTAGGAGCTTTTGCCTACTCAGCTGTGCCAAAAGTGACGCTATTACAGTTGATAACGTCAGCTGAGCTGGTTGAGAAATGACACCAAAACGGGTTATTGATTCAATGCAATATAGTTCATACTGAAAAAAAAAAATCAGATTATAAAGCAATTACTCTGTCTTTCCAGGGTAAAGTCAGTCCACTAGCATATATCTTCTTTACTGAGAAGAAAAAAAATTCTGTTTAGCCTAATTTATCCTTCTACTTTAAAGAACATTTCTCTCCTAAAAGAATTATCACAACATACTTTAAAAATGAAGAAACAGCGAGAATTTTAAAACCTAACTTTTTGGATTCTGATAAAATTTATACCACAGTTTAACTACATCATCACCATCAACACGCTGATCTGAACACATGCAGTTTTTATTTGGTGTATAAATATTTATACTTTCAGAGACAAAAGCATTTTTTAAATGCAGATCTGGTAAGAGAGAAAAAGAAATCATCACTGGTTTTAGCTTGCCTCCAGGTGTTCCCCATTTCAACAGCTGCCTCAGGTTTTGCCTAAGTAAAATATGTAATTACGCAAAACAAACTCGAGCCAGTATTTGCATTTTGTAAGGTAATGGAAAGAAAAACTTCTAAACCAGAAAGGCAGTGTTCATTTTTCAGTCAAATTTCTGCCTATACTACTGAGTGACCATCAAATAGCAAGTAAGAGAGTAGAATTTGGCTTTAAGAGAAAACCCATAGCAAATATCCGATAGGAGACTGGGTATTTGCCAGTGACCATCTGTTAACGGCTGCCTCTATGGCACTTGCTTAGAAGAAGTGAGAAAATAAAAAAAATCCTTGTGGTCTCTGGCGCTGCCTTTCCAGTTCCAGCACTTACTGGTGTATGCGTGCACGGCTAAAGGGTGCTGTGTAGCAATCTGTTTCTTCCAGATCAGGTAGGGCCTCCTTATCAAGCTTCATTGGATTTCTGGGCAACCAACTTTTCAGCTCTCTCATATTCCTCTGCAAACTGAGACAATTAAGAAATCAGATTTAAATGCTCTCACCTGCTTGTTATTTCTATCTCTGACATATTTAGTGACATCGTACTAGAAATGACATGAAAGCAGGAAATTTCCACATTAAATAAACTAAAAGAAAATAAGGAGTTAAAAAGCAAAATTAACAGTATTTATTTGTGATCTATCTTGCATACTTTAGTTGAGCACAACTCATCCTAAAATTAGTGGGAATGTGGTTTGAGATGGGACCGCAGTATTGAGTCTGGGGAAAATACTTTTCCAAGGCAGTTCATCGGCAGAAAGAATTGTGGATGCTTATGCCTTACTCCAGAACCCATCTAATTACTGTCTCTAGCCCCATTGAACAAGGCAAGCGTAACTCCTCCTCCCTCCCTTGCCTGGCGACTCGGAAACTAAAATTCCTAAAATTTTCAGGTAAATACGAGACTGCTCAGGATCAAAGTTTTATAGTGTTCTGATTTTAATAAAGCCTTCCCCTGCAAAATTTTCATCAAAATGCAAGGGCTGATATTGTCTTACAAAACAGCATACCCACAGATCAAATAAAGAAAGGGAAATGTTATACAGAAATGGTAATACAGATAAAAAACTAGGTATGGCTTCATGCGGGTTCCTAAAAACTGACATTATAAAACACAGAACATAATTTTTGTATCCTCAGTTCGATTATGTACTGGTAACAAAAAGGGCTTTCTTTCACTGGCAACTTGCCTAAATAGTATCTCCGTATATGGTTTATACAGGGGAAAGTTTAGTGCAGTGCAGTTAATTTTTCAGCAAATGCTAAAAGTTACCTCCTTATTACTTCAGTTTTGCACTCCTTGCTGACCTATATTTTTTTCACATTCAACTGCAAAGAAATATGGGTATTTAGGGAGTACGTCTCATATTACACTAGTGCTGTATTATGACACTCATCAGAAATCCAGAAAAAGTCTAATTTTTAGAAAAACATTCCCTAAATAATATTTTTTCAATGGGATTTGGGCCTTACTTGATGAACACGTATGTATGCATGACACATAAAGCATATATATATATCTCATATCCACAAAAAACTATAAAGCAAAGTATCAGAATTTTTTATCTGAGGTGAATACTGAGCTAAGCAGAAGCAGAGCTACCCATTTCGTAATTAATAGTAAGTGATGACACAGTAAGTTGCTCTCGGGTAGCAAAGCCACCTTTGTGAAAACGTACCTCTTATTCTCAACATCAGCAAAAAGCCCGTTCTATTTAACACTGTCAGACAGAAATCTAAGTCAAATGTGGGATCAGAATTTACACTGACATCTAAAATTCTCAAATTGTTGTTCTTGCTATATATTGCCAAGGTATTGGTGCACACTATGTGTAATTGGTGCAGCACTCGAGGGACAGCACTCTCGCTGAAACTAAGCATTATGAGCTGAAGACCATCGCTACGTTCATAAAGCTGAAACACAGAAAACGGTTCCCGGGCAGGTGGATCCCTGAGGTGTCTCCTCTACTCAAATAACACCTTACTGTGCGAGTCGATTATCTTCACTGGTTCCAGTGGAAGTTCTCTCAGTACAAAGTTATACGCAGTATATGTAAGTCCAGTTTTTACTTTTTCTTCTTTTTTTTCCTGTTGTATGCATGCTGATTTTTTTTTTTTTTTTGGTCAAACCCCAGGCTTTAATGAGGAAAATATACAGATGCATCAGGAAGAAGAGCAGAAGAACAATGCATCTGAATTCAGGTTTTTTTATTACAAAATTCTTTTAAAATTGGTTAATTGAAAAGCCTTGATCATTTCCTGCTCCAAAAAACCCCTAAAAAACTAGTAGACAATTATTATCTTAAAGAAATTAGCTCTTTTCAAAAATTCGTGTCTGCTGCTTTTAACATGCAAACTAATGAAGATCAGTATTGGAATAAATTAAAAATTACATCCACATTACATTTGCAATTTCTCTTCTGATGCAAAAAGGCTTTTTATCTAAGATGTGATTGCTTTTTCATTACATCACTTATGGCTGATCACTCCAAAACTTTGTGCCTTCAGATAGCATAGACCATTTCACCTGAAAAGTACCTGTCTCCCATGTACAAAAGCAATCTGGCAAGAGAGACCTCTTTCCTTGGCTTACGTTATTTTACAGCTGAAGAAGAAACTGAAGTTTCATTCAAAGTAATAACAAAATTCAGACAAATTTTTGCCTATAACATAGGACTAAGTATTAGCATTTTTACTCAGAGTGGCTTTCTAGGTCAAAAGTAGCAGTTTAAATGGATTCCTGCTTTAATCTCTTCAGCGTAGTCTATTTAGTAAGAATAAAAGCAGACAGAGCTGGTCTGGTGAAGTCACTCATGAAGTCGGGAGTTCACGCAATGAGATCAAAAACGTCCCAGTGGAAGAGTGCTGCAAGATGTGGGCTGATACGTCAGGTATGGTTTTATTGAAAGCACTCCAGCTGGGTCTACCGTAACTTTATGCACCTTGGACGACTGGGATATTATTTTGAAACACACATACATTTTATTCTTAGATATAAAAATCAATATTTTATGAAGATGCCTGTAATTTCAGCTTTGCTCAACTATACTGTTACATTTTATTTGGTTAGTTCTTTTTTCCAGAACTAGTTTAGTCCGAAAATCCTTGCAGATTATGTTTACTCAGCAGACTGCAATGCAAAGAAACACAGTCTAGGTGAATTTGGAATTATCTGATCTGCCACAAGATACCTGAATTAAGCAACTGCCACTGGTCACGTTAGGTATTTTTGACAGCAATCACCACCCAGCGTTTTGCTCGGTGTTTCTGCCTCATATATTGACAAAAATCTACAAGACTGGCTGGAACTGTCAACCGTATGCCACCAAATTACATGGACATGGTACTATGTTTTGTAATGGGAAACGTGTTACGGTTCACAGATTGAATACATGGACACAATCATCACTGAAAAAGGAAAAAAATGATGCTATACTTGTTCGATGGAACGACATTAATAATTTCACTTCAGTGTGCAGGTTGAAATCCAAAAGGTTTTAAAAGTCCTTTGCAAAGCATGCTTACTGCAGCTCAGTTGCTCAACAAAGCTAGTTTTGGTTCTCTATCCTTACGAATACAAATTTCAACATTTCAGTGGGCAGAGTGAAGCTGCATACTTAAGCTACTACCTTTAAATTTTCTTTTCCCCGATGCCATTTTAACCAGCATGAAAACGATGTGTCTGCTAAGGCAGATACAAGACTGATTCATTAGATTATTCAGTCTTAGATCTGAGAGTTCAGACAATTTTTGATACCAACATTATTTACTTGCACGTCCCACTTGTAGCAACTTCCTTTGATAAGATTTGCTGAAATATTGCTCTTAAGGAACATAGTAAAATTATTTTTGTAGTGCATCCCTATGAATAGAATTCAAGCTCCGTAAGATTAAGTACAATGCTAAGGTTTTTTTCTAAGGTACGTAAATAAAGATATAGTGAGATGCCACAGAGATATCAGACATAAGAAAGATAGTATTAACAGTAAGCATTACACTTACCTTCTGTCCTTTCACTCGTGCTCCTAATAATCTTTGGCAGACTTTTTAAAAGATATTTATAGATATATACATCTACCATATAACCACATCAGTAAATTCAGAGTAGTGTGCATGTCACAGCAGGGTCTAATATACTAGTGTTACCCCATACTCTTAAATTATACAAACTCCATAGCCTTAAATTTTACCTTTGATTTACAAAGATTTTAATATAGTTCTTCATCAAAGCTCTTGTAAATTCCACTTAATGACTTAGAAACATTAATGAGATATGACAAATTACAGAGAAGCAGTGAAGTTTGAAAAGTTGTAAGATGCAATGAAACAATAATAGTAGCAGAAGTTAAAATGATGAGATGCGTATGACAGCAATTTTAGAGTTAGCTTTCATTTTTCAAGATAATTTCTTTTTCACACTATTTTGCGCACTGGATCGTGTAAAGGGGCAGAGAAAATATTCAGAAAAATATTCATCCCCAAATTCTCGCAAAGTAAATCACAAGTAAAAACATTTGTCTCAAATGAAAAATCAATCTGGCATGAAAACTGTTTATTATTTGGTTCACAGGTACTGTGCAACAACTTCAATTGCACGTTTCAGACATCTGCCCTTCTAAATAATGAAAATAAATTCATTTAATATCTCGGACTCACCAGATGGATAACAGATGAAATGAGACAATTTTGCAGTAAAGCTCGTTGATTTTGCCTTTGCATTACAAAGCACATCACTTACATTTTTCATAATGCACGCTAAAATGGAGCAAGCATGTGAATGACTGGGAAGAGGAAAAACTGCAGTTGTAAATTTATGTTATAGATTGTTTTATTTCACTATATTTTATCTGATTATGTTTAAAGTTTTCTCGCTTTACCGTTCAACAGTGCTTTGTCTATTTTTGTTAGCTGATCTTCCTGCAAGCTGATATCATGAGACTACTGAAATTGTTCCTAAGAAATAATGAGAGCCCTTCATCATCTAAAGTAACAACAGGAGAACCCAAATCAAATGCAATCTCATCTCAAGATCCATCTCGAGAAAACCCGTGATAGAAAACTCTTTCAGGAGATTTCCCTCATGTAAAAATTTTCATATCTTTTCCGTAGGTAATTAGGATTTACAAGATATCATTATGCTTGACTAGAGCAACAGGGAGTGATTACAGCTCACAGTGTCCCCCGTTCTTCCTCCCCAGCTCCCCCAGGCTCCTTTTGCCCGCTGCGGTGGCCTATTGTACCCTTCTCCTGGCTTCTTCTGACGGAAGCAGAAACAACAGCAGCTGCATATATCTGCCTCCCAGAGAGTTAAACAGCTTTTACTGCAGCGTACAAGTTATTCTGTCAGCTATTAAATAAAAATTCAATACAGCCTTCGGCGCATGGCACTGATTTAGCCCTGATCACCGGAATGCACAGGAGAGAAGTTACGTTTGCATGTCTAAGGAAATAGCTGACTACCAGAATTTGAGACATGCACTCAAAAGTATCTTCCACACTAAAGAAATACGCCTTGGTAACAGCAGACGGAACTGTAGAGATGGCTCCAGTATTAAATCTTTGCTGCCAGGATAAGGCCACTTTTTTTTTTTTTTTCCTGGCGTAAACACTTTTGCATTTCTAAAATGAGAACTGGCAAAGCTTTAAAGTATTGCATCTTGTTACAGATGAATATTTTAACACTTTGAGCTAACATATTTTGAGTTTTCAGGAAAATAATCTAATTTTCCAAGTTTCCTGGATAAATTTACAACTGCGAATGGATTTTCTGTAGCAGGGTGACTATCTGACAAAATTAGAAGCTGCACATCACCCACCAACCTGCCCATGGTTTTGCTCCTCCAGTCAGTGTAATAACATTTTTTCCTGAAAGAACAGCAAAAATCAGCTGAGAATAATCAAGCAGGAGACAGCTGAAAAGGACATATACATTATAAAAGAACACCGGACATTTTAAAACATGCATTTTCACAGGCAGAAGGGGGAAAAACAGTTAAAAAAGGCAACTAAAATAGAATAAGTCATTAAAATGCTGTGATTTCACATATTTTCAAGTTCAAAATTTGTTCCTGAGTCAAAATTAAGTTTTAGATTTGTAGCTAATAATAATAGCTAATCAAAAATTCATTCATAAGCCATCCATCAGACAGGATTCAATGGTGTCATGCTAGTATTCATTTCATGTGAACTTTCTTAGCTTAGATTCTTCTTAGAAGAATCACCAGGGCTTCCATGCTATTAAATGCTTTATGCACTCTATGCATTAAATACCATAAGCACGTAATGCCATTAGATCTATCCTCATTCTGTAAAGTGGTATGCCATCACCTCCCCTTGACATTTTGCGTCCAACTGAAGAACACTACACGACCCTAAAAATCTAAGATTACTATCTGTAACAAACAACTCTTATGTTAACAGTTCTTTTCTCTCCACACTTCACTGGTCACAGAAACTTAGAGAAACAAGACCAGAATTTCCTAGTCAAGTCTTCTGAGAGAAGTTATTTTGAAACCATATAGAGACATATTTGGTGCAATGTAATATTTTATACATCTAGTTTCATTTTTTCAGGTTTTTTTTGTTTTTTTTTTTTTTTTTTTCTGGCTGCCTCCTATCATTTCATGTCACATTTCAACTCCACAAAGGCCTCAATCCTGCAGATTCCTCGGAGGATCCGTATCTTTACCATGGCACTCATCTGGGGACACCAAAGTTCAGCACCAGGGGCTTTGCTCCTCTCTTAATTCATCTACTTAAAATTTGCCTAAATCCTTTCTACATTGGCAATGTTTATTTTTTAGGAGGAATTAAAACAAGCTTATTTGGATAGATTAATAGAAAAGTTTAACATTATTTTCAGTTGGTATTTTAACCTCCCCCTCTCCATTCTGACACACACAAAAATGGAGGTTTACTCTGGATATTTCTCCATCTCTTCTTAGCCTAGAACCAGACATACTTAACAAGATGTCCAACTGCCCAGCTGTACGTTACTTACATTACAGTAACCCAGTGAAATGAACACATTAAAAGGATTCGAAAAGAAATGTTGCCTAGAAAACACGTGGCCATGGGAAAACCACATATCTACCAATCTGCAGGCTGTTGGCAGCCTCACACTTGGTACGAGTAGGCAGAATTGTAAATGAAGCAGTGTAGAATTATTAAAGGATTTTCAGACATTACTTTTTTTTTTTTTAATAAAACCCTTCCTTCATTCCCTTTAATTGCCCTTAGCTGTTTTGCACAGATGGAGTCCAGCTAAGCTACAGACACAACTAATTTATCCATTACACACAATGATAATTATATGTCACAAGATATAATTGTAGATACAGATAAAATTAAACTTTTGTTTGAGTTTCAGAAATATATAATAGACTTTCATTTCTACTGACAGACTTCACAAAAATATCTATAAATTATTAAAAAAAGTTTCAGTCATGATCTAACCTTGGTGCTAACATAAATCCTGTTTGAAACCATATACAAGACAACAGTGATGACCACAGACTGGTCTTTTGAAGTGTTAGAAAAATGTTATTTTGTAATTGAAACCCTGAGGTTCCATCTATATTACATATACGATGCATACTATATATCTACCAATACATTTAGGTATAATGCCATGCTAAAACAGTTCTGGGACGCTGGGTGGTCCCCTGGGTCAGGAAAAAAGCATTTTTACTTTTCAGCAACAGAGAGAAATACTTCTTAAGCCGTGTAATAATTCTGTTTATTTTGTTTAGATTCCTGGATTGAGCAAAATGAACCTAAAAAGCATGTTTAATTCTTCATGCATTATTCATGTAGGACGCCGACATATGGTATATTTTAGTGACCATAACCAAAAGCCAAAATTTTGCAACACTGTGCCAGAGAACAAGGGTGTACGGCATTAAAGTGCTGCAGGGAAGGTTAGCTCTCTTCTTCGATTATGTATTAAAAATGGACAGTCAGAAGCCACTGATAAATCAGATAAAGGCTAAGAGAAATAATCTGTTTTTAGAATCATAGACGATTCCTCTGTCCATTGAATGGAGAAAATAGTTACCTCAGGAAAGTAATATAAGCCATCCAGTCAAGAAAGGTTTGATTTAAATAAGCAAGCTCAAGATGAAGAAAAAAAAAAAAAAAAAGTACTTTTGACAGAACATGTAATTAAATTAAAAAATGTGCGGTCACAGGATGTTGTTACAGAAGTGTAGATGGCTATTTCTGCATCCATGAAAAGCCATTGGGGGCTAATATAAACAGAGATGAAGACATGAACTCTGCCTCAGAAAGCCTCTAAACTGCAGCCTTCTGGAAAGAGAGAAGGCATCATGAAACACACCTCCAGATCTGCTCGGCTGCTGTACCACACACTTCAGCCTGGCTGCTGACAGAGCAAGACAGACCTTTGGTCTATTCTGCTACGTCCACTTTGTGCTCACAATAAAACTGTGTTCACTTTTATTTTTTAAAAAAGAACGGAAATTAAAGAAACAGATTGCTTGAAATATTCACACAAGTTCTAGATTGCAACTTCATTTAAACTCCTACTAAAATCTTTTTAAGGTGAAAAGAAATGGTGATCAATTTAATATTTCTCACAGTTCTATTATGAGGTAGAGGTGGACAGTGGGCTTCTGTCTTAGAAGTAAATGTGTTTCATTCTACAGCAAAACTGCTAACAAAGTCAACCAGCAAAATTTAACATTTTATCTACTTTTGGTGTACTGAACTGAGTGGGATAAAAGGAAGCTAAAGCAACAGCCCAGAAACAAAGAAACATGGATCAGACACTTTTTGGGGAAGAAAAAACCAAACAAAACCAACTAATAAAAAAAAGAGACTATATATACATGTCAGTTAATAATATAATAAACAAACAGGACTTTGAATGCCTTCAAAATAAAGCAGTATTGCAAAAGTCAGCCCTTTTTTTTTTTCTGAAGAGCACTACTGATCTGTGAAGTTATAAAATGATGAAGAATTCAAATCATTGCTAAATCCTAACTTAATTTTGTGACTTCAAGTATCAAAACCAAGAAAGAACTATTTCTGTATCAGAATTTAGATGATTGTTTATGTGTGTGTACTCACATATGCAAACACTTCTATATTTAAAATGTTGACAAGTATTATTCAAACTAGAGAAGATCAAATGGCACTGTAATAATATTCTCAAACATATGGGAGATGACTGTTACAGAAAAGATTGTTTTTTTAATGGAAAGTACTTTGAAGGCTTTACGGGATGATGTGGAAACTCAGCATAGAACTGAGTATTTGAAGGGAGTTTTGAGCAAAGGATGCTTCACGATGACTGTTTCTGGCTTAGAACCAACGCAAGAGAGCCACGCTGCAATAGCTGAAATCGGCAGGGACAGGAAAGAGAGAGCACTCGGCAATCCAAGTGAGAAAGGAGTGCCGTAAGGGTATTTTCCGTGAGTCACACAGCTTTGGCATCTGGTTACCACTTTAACTCCTGATGAGGTTTACAGCACACTACATACTCTTCTCTCTGTCGAAGAATATTATTTATCGATTTCAAAAGGGACATTTTTTCCTTTAAAAGCTTCTGTATTATTGCAGGGGATACTAACTTGTCCTACAAATAAATAACAAATATTTATCGCAAAAACATACGATAGAATTACTTTAGCACATAGACGAGGAACTCGGTTCAGTTCATTATTCTGCCAAAGGAAAGCTAGAGTACCAAGAAATAAAAGTATCTCGTTTTCTCCAAAGTATGCCAATATGCGTTATCTTGGAGACCGAGAAGACACCAGCTATTTCTGTCATTTCACTTGCCTTTGGGTAAGACTTCAGGAATACCTGAAAAACATGGAGAATACTTGAGCCCAGATGGAGAATACCTGCAACTCTGCCAAGGACATCCAAAACAATGTGTGAACTATTAACAGTATTTTCTGAAGACATATGCTCGATTTGACTTGGAAGGTCAGCTTGAAAACAAGTACCACAGGTAAATGGGAAAAGCACAGTGCCTATTATTTGTTTCTCCTCTCCTCCCTCCATATCATCTCACTAAATTAAACATAAGCATGCCTGGCCACAATGCAGCAAAGACTGCATTTTAGCCTTAAGGTAAGTAATGAACTTTTAATATTAAAACTAAATTACAAGTTTCTTAAAATAGTTTCCACAATACCTGAAGGGCATCCTGATGTTCATTCTTTCTGCGTATTTGCACAATGTCTCCCACGGACAGTGAATTTTAACAAACATGATATCGCTGTTTGTAACAGCTGGCTGTAAAGAGTAGTAACAAATAAATACATATTAATAATTCAAACCTTTATGGCATTCACCTTTCTAAAAGCATTCTTCAGGGTCAAATTCTGCTTTTAGGCCTGAAGTGGCGGTGCAAGTCTGAAAACACTCTAAGTGCTCTGAGCTAGACAAAAGAAAATTAATAACTTTTTTTTTTGCCAAACCCTGTAATAGGAGTAAACTATTAGAGATATTAACTTGGAATTTTGGGAAAACAAACTAACAGATCAGAGTCAAGATAACAAAATCACACCCATGCAACTAAAAAAAAAAAAATTAAAAAAAAATCCCTTTTAAGACACAAAGGATTTAAAAGTTTCAGTATTTCAAGGGAGGAGGGATTTGACAGTGAAACTTTGCAATCTGCATAAAATATGATTTTCATTTTTAATACTATTAGAATAAGAGGCATTCAAGAAAAATTAGAAGCCTGAACAGCAGCACTTAAACTGTAAACTAGCCTAGCTGAAAGAACCCAGTGCAGATCGAGCCCCGTAAACTAGAGATGGATTAACTTGGCACTGAAAATCTTTACCCCTTTAAAACCAGAGGCATTTAGTATCATGCATTCAGGTGAAAGACACAGAGGTTATACATTAAAGCAATAACATGAGTTACTGAAGCTTCTTCTGTTTTGCAGATAAGGAGCTGGGATCTATACTGCACTACACCTGCTCCAATTGAAAAGTGATTATACTTGGCAGGGTACACGTGTGTGTGCATGTATGGACAAGCTTGCATCTCAAAGACATGTTAAACACACACCATCAAACAGCTGTTATTATTATTTTAATAGCATTAAACAAAGCCTAACTGGAAAGGTTTGTAAGATTGTCACGAATCATTAATACATCCAATAAAGTACGACAGTATTATAAAAGTTTTTTACACCACATAAGCTACAAAACTCACCTCTCGTTCTAACATTAACCCTTCTGCTCTCAAATTCTTCTCAAACGTGCTTCTTTTTTCTACCTGCGGACTTGACTTCTTGTAGACCAAGATGTAATCAATGCGTTTTTTGCCATCTTTGAAGAAGAGGCCTGATGATGCCATGGCATCAGTCTGGAGAAGATAAAATAAAAATATACTAAATGTGGCATTCATAAAGATGAAGAGCTCCATCACAAATTCCATGTAACACAGCATTTCCTAAAGCACGGAAACGTCCACATATCCACAGGAAGAATATATAAAGAACAAGTCACAAGAACAAGCAGTTCATATTCATCAGTTGCTCAGGATTTAAAAATAATTAGAATAAACCAAAATAAAAGAGCTCCAGAAACCCCATATTCTAGCTATTTCTTTCAGCTGTGGAAAAACCTTAAAATTATTGTATGGCATATATAGATATAAACCTCTGCTAATCCTTACTTTCCAGTAGGAATTAATAAAATTTGAAGACAAGTAAATTAAACCAAGTTTGCCAGCTTTGTTCCTGGGCAAATTTTATATAACAAATATATTTTCTCCTAAAGAGAAATAAATCTAAAAAAAATTAAAAAAGAAGTGCTATTGTTTGGAAAGTTTTCCTGGATATTCCTGTTGAAATGCTTTTTCAATGTCATGTTAGCAATGTTTAAATCTTGTCTGGTTTCTTCCCACCACGCTTGCAAACACCAGGGATTCTCTGACCTTGATACAGAAAATCCTGCTTTAGATGCCGCTGCTGAAAGCTATTTTTGCATTCTGTGTTTTGCACGATTCAGAACAGACAGTGGCTATATCAACTGGTGTCAGACTATGACGGCTTTGAAATCGGAAAAGGTAAACTGAGAAACTATCATCATCATCTGGAGAATGCAGCACTTGTTTTAACACAAACTGTCCAGAACAAGTACATTAGTTTGAAGTAAGATACATTACATCTACATATAAGGGACCAGAAGTCTATGAATACTGCATCTTTAGTCAATAGGATGCTAGTCTTAGAAATTCATCCTATTTGGATTGTTTGATATGAAAGTTGTAATACTCAGAGTTACACCCAATAGTCACACTTTCTACCGATAAATAGAATCAACTGTTAGTGCACGCTATCAGCAGTGTAAATACTGGATCCCGGCTCACTTGTTTCTACATGAAAGGTTTTTTTTTAACTCCCACATAGCTTACTGCCAACTTTCTACATATGCAGTGCTTCTGAGAACTCAGTCTGCAAAAACTAAAGTTTTCTAACAAGATTCTTCCTCTTTCTCTGCTTTTTTAACTCCCAAAGCAAAAACCAAGGAACAGTCATTCTCAGACCACCTAGCGTTATGAAAAAGCACATCATCATGTCTGGGAACATTATTTAAGTACATTAAGCTTCAATTTATGTACAATTAAGCTTCTTTTTCCCCTCAGCAGCTGGTGATGGCATCAATTGTCTGTCTTTTCCAGATGACACTTTTCAAAATTAACCATAAAAGCATTCTGTTACCTGCTCCAAGGTACATACCTGCTTATGTACTTTACTAACAAGTCTATAAATACAAAATGAGCGTTAGAAATCTCAGCTTCGTCACACTTGGCTAGAGTTATGCTGTCACTTTCATACTCTGCTTCAGGTGCAACCATCCAGATGTGGAAGCAATTTCAGTCTTTGGAACACAGGAGAGGTGAATTCAAATCCCTCCAGGCTAAGTCAAAACTAACCTGAGTCTTTCTACTACCTGGGTAAAGGTCTTCATTTCTAAGCATAAAGATGGCATTCTTTTCTTTCCTCTTGGGATTGGCATTCGTCATCTTCAGAGGTTTCTATTTGCTTCACGTGCAACTTGCTGGGAGAGGCGTCACCACCTCAGGGCTAGAGGGCGCAGGGCAGCACTGGGGCATTTGGTGTACGAGCGCTGGTTGATCCCCGCCGCGCTTGTCTCCTCCTGCCCACTGCTGCCTTCCCTCCATCACAAAATAATGGATAATGTAGCATTCAGAAACCTCTGAATACCTGCCCTTAGCCCAACCGAGGGGAAACGCTAATCCTAAATTATTTTGGAAGTTTGTTGAGAACAGGAAATATCCTTTCCTTTTGCTTGGCTTTTGATTTCAGATTTTCATTTTTATTAAGTTAAAGTTAAATATAACAGAAAAAAACAAGGAAAATAATTTATCAATATATTTATCAAACATTTATTGAAGAATAGCATACCCTATACTCCATTAATTGTTTATACATTATTTTATTTCTATTTATCTCAAGATATTCAGATAAATAATATCTGAAGCCCAAAGCAAGCTAACCAAGATTGTTAACCAAGATTATTAGTCCACTGAATACAGGGTCTGTCACCCCTTCTAAGAATTCTGAATGGGGATAGTAGTAAAAACATTCATTTTTATTATTTTTTTAATGTCGTAGATGTAGTGATCTAAAGACACAAGATGCAGAGGTTTGAAGGTGAGGCAGAAGATGAAAGACTTGCATATTCAAACTTGCACGTTCATATTTGTGAATGCCCAAATTTTTTTCAGGTTCAAGACACAAACAATGAACCCGCTCTTCAACAATGAATTACTGTGCAAGTACTTCACAAAAGCAGATGAGAGCAGGCTGCTGTGGTCCACGAAGGAGGCAAAATCACATACAAAAAGCCTGACCAAAATTCCCCCAAAGGGGGGAATCTGGAGCTTCTCATATATAATTTCTGCTCATGCAGTCACTCCACAGACATTATGCAAATTAAATCTACCTTTACCTTTCTTTGGATTATTATTTCCAGCCTTTCTTTCCTCATTTCTAAAATATCTGCTTTTCTTCAGTCTTGGAAAAACACGTTTTCTTTCTTGGATTAACAACAGTGTGCAAATATGCCCTCAGATTCATCTGCACCAAACAGAATTCTTTGGGTGCAATGTTCAATAAATAATGACCTGTGCTGATAGTAGAGAGAAATTTTCCATCTGCTCATCTCGGACCACTTTCAGAGGCGTACTGCCACAGCCTGAGATGTGCGATACTGAAGCCGCTTACCACAATCGTGCAGTGAACCCAACCTATACTCTAGCGATTTCAGGACTGATTCGCTTTAATGCTACTCGCACTTTACTGGTTTCACTTTAGCGTAATTCTCAAGCAACGCTGTCCATCTACGTTA